AAATGCACTGTTCGCACACAATATCAATTTTTGAAACATGCAACTGGATCAATCAACCAATCTGAGAAAGTAACAGTGGCCCAATCATTCCTAGCTTTGATCCACCAGAAAGATCTCAGTTGAATAAGTTCTAAGAGTGTATTAGGATTTACCTCTTTACAATGGCCCAATCTTTTCTTTTTCTCTTTATTTATTTAATAGTTAGCGATAAGAAAAGGTGTGACAATAACCTCATAGATTATGATTTAGTTTAATTAATAATGTTGATTTGTAATTGTAACTGTAAAATTTTTAATCTTTTAATATTTTAAAAATATATTTTATATATTTTATATATATTTTAATTAATATTTTATATATTTTTAAAATAATAAAAATACATAAAAACTAAAAAATAAAATATTCAATGTTGCCAAACAAAAGCCATATATATTTGAATATAATATATGTCACATTATTTATATTCAATTAGTTTTTGATTAGATGTTTAGGCCATGTTGCCTTAGCCTCGTATCTTTTTGGAATGTTTGGATTAGTTGTATTAAACTTTTTATATTAAATTTTTTTAGTATTTAAAAATCATATTAAGTTTTGATTAATGTAAAGTTAAATAGAGTTGGTCTCTTTAAAGGGAAACTCTCTCAATATTTATTTTTCAATTCATAATACTCAAATTTAAAATTATATTTAAGGAGAATTAAATTTTTTCTATTCAGGTCAATAGATAATTAGTGTCTTAATTGTTTTGATATGATTATTAGTTTATAATTAATATTTATTAATTGATATTTAATAATTAATAATTATTGTCATTTATAAAATAAAACATGTATTTCGTTCAATTAATAGCTGTTTCCACCTCTAAAACAATCACTCGCATAATCAGGGATAACCTTACATTTTTTTTCTCCAAATTCTTCTTCGCTTATTGGAAGACTTAAATTTGCAACCTTCAATACAAAAACTCAAGCTTTTTCTCATATGGTTAGACTGTTTTTGGATGGTGCTATTGCCGCCTCCCAATTGTTTAATGCCACAACTTAATTACTGTTTAGACCATTCTACCCCTATAAATTAATGACCTCTTAAAACAATTATTTTCGTTTTCCAAATATACCCTTATTTAATCTCCATTTTTTTCTTCCTTAATCTTTTCCAAAATTTGTCTTCTTCCTCTTTTCTGCATCAGACTCTCCTCGTTCCCCGCCTCACCCTCACTCATCTCACAACCCTCTGTTATTTAATCTTATTCTCTCCCTTTTGAAGATTTAAGTCTCATATAAATCTCTTCTTCTCTCATACTATCTTTTTCAATGTATTTTTGTCTTACAAAAAATGAAACTCTCTTAAAATTCGAATGTGGAGGAAAGTGACTCTCATTGGACTTTTCTTGATGGGTTTTCTTGAAACGATCTTTGTCTTTCATGGGTAGAATGACAGTGGGTGGATTGATGCACACACCACCATTAACGGCGAAGTGAAGTGATGCTTATGGCATGGTATGCCAAAAAGGACCAAACTAACAAGTCCTTAATTTTTGCACAGTTATTAACACACCCAACTTTCCGATTGGCTTATGAAATTTGTTGTTTTTCAAGGGGGACTTGTGGTAATTGTTTGTATAGCCAAGGGATCGGAACAAAAATTGCAACTCTGAGCGCCGTTCTGTTCAACAATGATTGAGTTGTAGCTACAATGATTGAGTTGTATAGCTAGGTGTTTGTCAGTGACCATCAACGACGCCCAATGAGACTCAATTATTGAGAAAGATTTGAAAAAGTCTTTCTCTTGAAACATAAAAAGAGAAAGCACACATTTTAAAGAAGGCTAATGGAGAAACAATGATATAGATTTTAAGAAAAATTGTTCTATAAAGTGAATTGTATATTAAAAGTGTAGTATATATTATGAATTTATTTAAATATTTTTAATAAAATTATTTTTTTATGTTATTTTATTAAAATTTATTAAGTAAATTTATAAGATGATTTGCACTCTTAAGGTACAATTTATTTTAAAAAACTTGAATCTCAAAAATTAATATGGGCAGATTTGACAAATGAAAACCATTGTTTTAAGAGTTTATTAATTAAATGCGTAAAGTGATCTAAACAAAGATTAAGATGTGACGTTAACAAATTAAGAGAAGTGGTGAAGGCCACTCATGATATTGTTAGGTCACACGAATTTCTCTCCTTCTTTTTTTTTTTTTGGTTTAATACCCAATTTGGTCCCTAAACTTTCCTTTTAAAACTTAAGTCGTCCTTTAACTACAGAAAACACCCAAATCATTCTTAAACTTTATTTTTCCAGAACCCAAACAGTCCTTTTGTCACGGAACTGCATACCTGGCACGATTAAGTCTCCACCAATTACCTCTTTTAATTTTCACAAGCTTACATGGATAATACACCTCACCCAATTGATGACATGGTAATATCTAGCCTTATAAATAAAATTGCAGAGTAACTTGATCAGAAATAGAATTTTTTCGCTTTTGGATCTGTTTAAGTCAGGTAAGAGCTCGATTAGGATGTAGACGACGTCGAACTCTATCGCATTGAATCGACTCTTCTTTGACGTTTCTAAGATCTCGATTAGAAACTTCAGCGCACATGAACTCGCCTTGCTGCAAATCTCGTCGGAAACCAACTCTAACAGAGATTTGAAGAATCTATGCCTTAATCTTGAAGCAAGAAATTCCAA